ATGTCATGTGGCATCCCTGATGGGGTCTTGGAGGGGAAAAGGACATTCGGTGACAGCTAGTGAAATCCCGATGCAGCGTGGACATTCCCTAATGGTGATGTGGTGGTAACCTGCTGAGTCATGACAGGTATGCCTGGTGACACAGGGTGCTGGCATCAGGGGTACCGGGAGTGTGGTGCCCAGGGACTTGTGTTCCTTCTCAGATTCTGCAAATCTAAAGCTATTCTAACAAGTTTATTTTAGCAGCCAGACCCACAGCAGCAGGGTGGGATCAGGGAGCATCTGGACGTGGGGCTCATGCCGAGGACAGTGCCGGTAGCCTCGGGGGGCTCCCCAGGGTCCCTGGGTCCAGGTGAAGGGGTGAGGCCTCTGGGGGGCATCGCTAAAGTGGCACGGATGGACCCACAAGAGCCAGGTGGGCTCTGGAAGAAGCGTCTCTATCCTGCCCACATCCTCAGAACCATTTCTGGCTGTGCTCTGTCAACACCGGGTACAGATGTAGGCATCTCAGAAGCGGGGAGAAGACCCCAGAGCCCACCTGCTACGACTGTCTCATGAGTGATGGAAAACTTGGAAGAGTGGAAGCCACAGGCCCACGGTCAGACCCACTTGTGCTTCAGAAGAATCGCTCCCACTGCAGCTTGTCCCTGGAGCCCGCTGATGACTCACTCTGGAGGTTGGGGGTCTTCCAGTGCTGGCATTGTGCGTGGGGGCAGGATGGGCCACCTGTCCGTCACCTGCGGTCCCAGCACATCCTGAGCTTCCTGCCTGCCCAGCCCAGATGCTCGCCGCCCCAGCTCTTCGAAGTCGACACCAGCTGCTCGCAGGAGGCAGTCCCTGCAAACTCCCTGCTGGGGTGGGGGGAGGGGAGCGCAGCCTTCCGTGCAAGAGATGTCTTTGTCTCCCTTAATTGACAGCAATTTTCTCCTGTGAAGAAAATATACAGAAGGTAGCGGATTCAATCGCAATTCGTTGAATCTTATTAAACTCTTCTTGGGGGAAAAAAAAACATAGATTTCAATAAAAATTTAAAAGGAAGAGGAGCAAGGAAGTTGCAAACTAGAAAATAAAGGGAGATAGAGCAACGGTCCCAGTTTGGAAGTGACCAGGTTGTGTGTGGGGGAGTTTGCCCCTCGTTTGAAAGCACAGGCGAGGCACTGCAGAGCATAAGCCCTCCCGGCCTGTTGTGAAGAGTGTGGATGCGGGCAGCCAGGTGCCTGAGTGACAGCGAGTCCCAGCAAAGATGGTGTGCGCAGACCGGACTGTCTTCACTGCCCGTTCATCGCAATGTGCCTGCAGCTCGGAGAGGCCGGCTCTGGCTTGGGCACCCCTTCCTTCCTCCTGCCTGCCCGGGCAAGGGCCCAGGGTTAGGACATAATGCTGTGCAATTAGATCGGTCTCCCTGATAACCTTACACACGTCTACTTCTTGAGATGTAACTTACCCTAAAATTTATAGAATGTACAGTTCAGTGGTGTTAATAGACTCAGGAGGTTGGGAGACCATTGCCACCATTAATTGCAGAAACGTTTGCCACCCCTAAAAGAAACCCTGTGACCATCAGCAGGTGCTTTCTATTCCCCACCCCTATCCCTGGGCAACCACAGGTGTACTCTGTATCTGTGTGGATTTACCAATTCTAGGTACTTCACGCCCGTGGAATCGTGTGGCACGTGACCTCATGTAACTGGCTTCTTTGGCCTCACATGATGCTCTCAGGCTTCATCCATGTTGTAGCTTGACCAACACTTCCTTCCTTTTGAAGGCCAACTAACCTTTCACTGGAGGGATGGACCACCTTTTCATGAGCATTTATCAGGTGATGGACGTGTGGGTGTTTCCATTTTCTGTTATTACGAATAATGCTGCTGTGAACATTCATGTACACATTGTGTGCTTTTAGGTTTATACCCAAGAGGGGAATGTCAGGGTCCACTGGTAACTCTAAGTCTTTTGGTAACTACCATCTGTTTCCATAGAGGCTGCACCATTTTATATTCCCACTGACCCTGACTCCCCACCCCCTCACCACCACTTGGAATGGTCCGACTTTTTGCTGGTAGCCATCCTCATGGGTTGTGGAGTTGGGGCATGGTCTTCGAGGGTCTGGGGTGCCTCACAGGTTTGTGGGAGCTGGCACTGCCTCTGCCTGCATGGGGGCCTGGCCTTCTTGGCGCCTCGCATGCCAGCTCTGACAGTGAGTGATGTCACCTGCTGCCGCTGGGGAGGCGTGGGGTCCTTGGCTGGCTTGGGCTGTGGCTGACAGCAGCGCGGTGCCTTCCTGGGTGACAGGGCTGTGATGTTCCTCCAGGAACCTGGATTGTGAGCTGGGGCCCTGGCCCTGTGTTGGACAGGGTCTGAGGGGAGAGTGCTCCAGGGTCCCGCCTGGTCCCAGGGCCAGCTGGAGGGATGCGAGGTGGGAGCTGCCCCTGGCGTGGTCCTTGTGCATGTGACTGGATCCCCTTTGCCAGGGAGTGTCCCTCATGTGCCTTGGGACCAGTGAGGTCTTGATGGCACAGAGACTGGCCAGGCCTGGTGACGGAGCAGGGGGCCTGGGGCCTCCCACCCCTGTAAAGAGACCGGGTCCCCTGCGGGCCAGGGAACTGGCTCCTCACCTCCCTGGGGCCCCCCTGCGCCCTCCATGCCTGGCGTGCCCTGGCTACAGTGTGGGGGGGCCCCTGTTCCACCTGCCTTCCTTTCCCCCCTCTGGACAAATCCTGCACTAAGTTGGGGGGAAGGAGGGCTGGAGGAGGGAAAGCAAGGCAGGCCTGTCCCGCCTTTGCAGTTGGTGGCTTTTTCTGCAGAACAGCTGGGCAGCGTGGAAATGAGGGGGTTTCTATGGTAACCAATTACAGCTCATGATTGGCGAAAAATGACAGAAATATCCTATGTGTGGAGTTATGCCGGGGCAGGTGCAGGCCTGGTGCTGTGGTTATAATTTCCCGGGGCCACGCTTCTCCAAGTGCTGATGACAGGCGGGTTTGCCTGGCACAGCTCTTCAGTCAGCCTGCCTGGGGCACCTGGGGGCCTGGGGGCCTGGACAGCCTGGGGCCTGGTGGGGCTGGGTGGGGCCGGGTGGGGCCTGGGGTCCCTGGGGGGAATGAGGGGTTCTGGTGGGGCTGAGTGGGGCCTGGTGGGGCTCAGTGCAGCCAGGTGGGGCCTGGTGAGGCCTGGCAGGCCTGGTGGTGGCTGGTGGTACCCTCTGGGCTGAGAAACCACCCTTGCTTGAAGCACCTGGCTGGGGGTTGGTCTCATTTCTTTGGGGGCAGGATGCCCATCTAAGCGTGTGGAGTGGTGGAAACCAGAGGCCATCAGCCACCCACCCGCACGGACTTACCAGTGGCCCTGCTCTAGTGTCGGGGAGAGCCGCATGCTGACCTCCATCTCCATGTGCAGGGCCAGGGGCCCTCGTCCCTGCACCGAGCTTGGCTGGCTGTGCAGAGGAACAGCACATGGCAGAAACCCAGTGTGGAGGCATTAACACAATGAGCAATTCCTAAATTCGGCAGCAAAGCATTTTGATTCTGATTAGAAAACTGGGGCCTTCTTATTTAGGGCTTAGTTCTTTTTGGTAATTAGTGCTTATTAATACAAATCTCTTCCTTTTAACATCCTGATGACTGGTGGGGGCCAGCATGTTCCTGAGAATCAGTGAGAGAAGGGCCAGCCCTGGGCATGTGGGGTTCAGTGCAGAATGAGGGGGGAGCACGTACAAGCTGATGTGTACTGGTGTGTGCACATGTGGCCACACTCACACCAGAACATTGCACATATAGGGACACACAGACATACACACGCCACCTACTCACCCCCCCCCCACCCCTAGATCCACACGTTCACATACTCACCAACACGCACACACACTCACAGGACTCACACATGCTCCCGGTTTGCTCCCTTTTAAAGTCATGCAACGCCTAATAAAGAGAAGCTGCCAAACCCCGCTTCTACAGGCCTAGTTTTGAGCAGCTTTTCAGGCTGGCGGCTTAGTGCGCTGAACACCCTCACCCACCGCCACCTGCAGTAGCCTCTAAAATTCTGGATTTGTGTCAATTTTCAGATGTGAGGCTAGTGACGTTCACTCACTGAATGAGCCTGTAACTTATCCTCAGTTATCAGAGCTGGTGGGAGTGGTTGCATAGGCCGGGATCCCCTCCAGGCAGTGGTTTCTCACATGACATGCCACCTGCCCAGCCCTCGCACAGAGGTGGCCAGGTTGTGTGGGGTTTGCCCTTTCTCCAGCCTTCTTGGAGCCCAGGGGGCGGACGGGGTTCCAGAGGGCTCCTGCCCTCTGGGATCAGTAGAGGGCGGGAAATGTCCATAGGGCATGCTCTTGGGCAGAGTCAGCACATCCCTAAACTTCAGCTTATCCGCAGCAGACCTCATTTCCTGGGCGAAGTCTAGAGGAGGCCCCAGATGAGCAGCTTTCCCTGTGTGAGGCCTGAGGCCGTAAGCCCGCCTTACAACAGGCACTGAGATGGGGGAGGCCAGCGGAAGGGGCGTCTGTAGAGAACGCAGCACCCAGCAGGGCCTGGGATGCCTGGCCTTGATGCTTCTGTGGAGCCCTGCAGGTGGGACCCTGCTGAGGGTCAGAAGCCCTGGCCCTCTGCACCCCCGGAGGATTGGTCACTGAGAGCCCTGCCAGGGCCCGTAGCTCTGTAACCAGGAGGCGCATCCGCGATGCTGCTCCCACCCCGGCCACCCTGCCTCCATTTTTTTCCTGTTGGAAGCCTAGCAGACCAAGGGGGGGCTCTGAGTCGCCTTGTCAGCTGACAGGTGGGGGTCGGACTCGGTTTCCCGGCCATGCAGTGGGCTGTGGTCCTGCAGAGTCTTCTGCCATGGAGGTGGGCGGGGTGCGGTGGGCGCCCTGGGAATGGCCTGAGCAGGCCCTCTGGACTGAATGAGAGGGGCTGGGTCCCTCCCTGATGGACGGGCTCCTCCCGGTGGGGGTGGGGAGCCCAGCCGCCCAGCCCACTGATGCCCCTCTCTTTTCCGTGCAGCTCCATGTCCATCCGCTGGCCGGGCTGCCCCCTAGGAAGCCATGCTTGGATACTTATAGCCATGTTCCAGCTTGCCATGGAGTTTCCCGCCTGTGAGGCCCTGGGCCCGGGCCCCGAGTTCCGGCCTCTGCCGCGGCCGCCCCAGCGGCCGCCCCGTCTGTGGAGTGCGAGGAGCAGCCAGCTGGCGCGGGTCCCCGTTCCCTTGTGGAGCCCCCGGCCACCCCGCATTGAACACAGCCACGGGCAGATGCAAAGTCCACGAGCCAAGCGAGTGCACAGACCCAGGGACCAGGTGGCTGCCCTGGTGCCCAAAGTGGGGCTCCCCAAGCCCCCAGCTTCTGCCAAACCCAGCTCACCCCTGGACTCCCCCACGTCACCATCAGCGGTGACAAGTAGTGGGGCTGCCACGGACCAACAGGCCCTCCTGAGGAGGGGGAAGAGGCACCTGCAAGGGGCCAGTTTCAACAGCTTTGACTTCCGGGGCGGCAGGCCCACCACTGAGACGGAGTTCATTGCCTGGGGGCCCACCGGGGAGGAGGAGGCCCCCGAATCCAACACCTTTCCGGGCGTGTATGGCCCTACCACGGTCTCCATTTTGCAGACACGGAAGACAACTGTGGCCTCCCCGACCCCCGCTACAGCCACCACGGCCACCTCCATGCCACTGCAGACTAAGGGGGTCACCGCACCCCTGGGCCCCAGGAATAGGATCCCTGTTGGGGTCAGCACAACGGAGCCTTCCACCAGTTCCAGCAGAGACAGTGGCAAAGACACCAAGTCCCCTCCTCGGATCCTGGGGGAGACCTCAGGTACACCCCCTCTCTCTGGTTGGGGTTCGGTTGGGGTGGGGGTGCCTGGGGGTGGCCAAGGAGGGATGCTGAGCTCTGTGGGACTCTCACTTCCCAGTGGCGGAATGCGGACCAACTTCAAGGGGCCGAGAGTTGAGTGTGGGGCCTCAGGGAGAGATGGGGTGCACGCATGTGTACTGGCAGATGTCGGCAGATGTCGGCTGTGTTCGGAAGGAGGGAGCCAGTGTTCTGGCTGGTGGGGGCAGACGGGAGAGTCTCCCCCTAGTGGGGACCTGGACGTGGATGCAGTGCCCTCCGCGCCCGTCTGAGGGGGTCTGACCCTGCCAGACACAGGGCCACAGCTCCCGAGGGGCCAGCCTGAAGTAGGACGGAGCGAGGGGCATGTGGAGCTTCAGAGGCTGTTGCGAGTGTGGCCTACAGCTGGGTGACTGCTGGGTTGGCCCAGAGCTAGGCCTCACCTTACACAGTGGGAGAGGCGGGCCGGGCCTGGGGATGAGCTCCCCTGGCCTTACGGAGGCTTCACAGACTGACTTGGGCTGCGGAGCACCTTCCCTGGAGATGCGTTAGGAGGCGTTCGGAGAATGGGCCTAGAGCAGGTGGCTTTGGTCTTTCTGCCTGTTTCTCCAGGTGCACATGGATGACGGCCCTTCTGGGGCTTGGCAATACCTGCTGCAGTGTGGTTTTGCTTTGCCTCCTCCTCCACCTGCTTCAGAGTGACCTTGGCGATCTCCCACGCCAAAGCTTGTCCCCTCACTGGTAGCCACCGGCATGTACTCGGCTTTACCGCTGGCCGGGGGAGAGCCTGGGACTCCCTGGTTCCAACCCGCGTCCAGTTCCAGCGGTCCTTCTGGAACAGGCCGTGGCCCCACACCCACCATGACTCAGAAGTTCAGAGCCCGGACCTGTGTGTGCACATCACAGACAAGCAGCCATATTTGCTAACTCCCCAAAGCAGGCTGCGAATCCCAGGGTGGGGGCACAGGCAGGGGTAGAGCGCCACGCCCCTCCTGCCCCCTCAGCCTGCTCCCCCACATCCAGGGGGTTTGGGCTCCAGGTGCTCCACATGGGGCCTTTCAGAACCCAGGGGATGGAGAAGAATAATTGCCCCTTGGGGTCCGTCTACAGAACCATTGCCAGAGTTTCTCTCTTGACTGTGTCTGTTCCAGACTCCGCCTCCCAGCCAGCAGGCAGGCCAGGGTGGGTAGCTGGATAGGTTTCCATGGAGTGGGTGGCTTTTGTTTCATGACCTACTTCCTTCCTTTACCTAGACAGGAGAACTGCAGTTTTTATTCTGAGCAGTTTTTCCCTAGAGAGCAGCCTGTCTGTGAAAGCAAACCCAAGCTCCATCTCAGTGCCAGGGGCTGGGGGCCAGGCCTGGGGGTAGCGGCGTGAGCCTGGGAGCTCCGCGGGAGAGGGTCGCAGGGCCAAGCCTCCGCCGTCTCCCACACAGCCTCCTTCCGGAATCTACAGACGCAGAGAGTCAGCAGTCCATCATTTCTGTGCCAGGCGCCCGAGAGCAGTTTTTACAAAGCATTTGTTTTAATCTCAATAAACCCACAAACCGTCATCATAATAGAATTTAGAGGTTGCATTCGTTTACTGTCATCTCTGCATACGTCACTTTATATATAGACATGGATGAGAGAGTGAGTTCCCATTTATTCCAAATTACATTTGTTATTCCTAAAGTTAAACGCCCGGGACAGCATTATAAGGCTTAGTGAATTAATTCACAGCACATTGGATGTTGCTGATCCAACTCAACAGATGCTTATCTTGGAAAAGATTTATGGTTCTTATAATATAATCTGGTGCTAGATTAATTTGTTTAGCAAAACAGATTTAAAGGGGAGAAATAAGTGTCTTCGCTTCTAGTGCAGAGAAATATTAACTCTGGGAAGTGATCCTATGTGCTGACAAGGGACAGCCCAGGGTCCGCAGCTTTCAGACCAAGCGAAGGAGGGGAGGAAATGCCAGGCGATCCCTCTGCACGGGATCATCAGAGCCCAGCTGGCCCTGCATCAGTGACCCAGGCCCTGGGGTACTGAGAGCCCGACAGGAGTCCCACGAATCCCACTCGCCGTGGCAGACATCAGATATAGATCTGGGCCCCCGACTCTTTGTGGAGGGTGGCAGCTACTCACTCACGGGATGGAATTTAAGGTGGTGGGAGTGGTCTCGGGAACCCCAGAGCTGTGGTCTGCGAGGCTGTGCGTGCTGTGGTTAGGAGCGTGCGCTTCCACTCAGCAGATCCACGCGCGACTCTGGGCTCTGCTGGGTGGAGCTGAGTGATCCTGGGAAAGTTTTCTTCTCCCTTGGCTTCATTTCGTTCATCAGCAGAATGAAAGTGCAGAAGTCTCTTTCTTGAACAATTGCTGTGAGGATTCAGTTAATCAATAACAAGTGAAAATATATGGTTCCTGGCACCTAAGAATCCTCCATGCATGCCAGTTGTTTTTATACCCAGGAAGAATAAATGAGGAGAGGGTGCAGGTGTCGAGGGCGAACAGGCTGCCAGGGCCATGGGAGTCTTGCCATCTCAGACACACCCACCTTGGCCCACTCACTCCTGGGGACACCCCAAATTCTGTAATACAGGTTTGAGGAAGTGACGAAGACTTTAAATCAGTCCTGTTGCACAGATAGAGTGTCTTTGGAATCAGGTTTCAGAAGTTAGGAGTTATTATTTTTGCTTCTATAGAGAAATATTTAGAAGAGGGGTGTTACAGTTTCCTATCTGGCCGTAGCTCAGACACTGTGGGCATGGAAAGGGCAGGTGTCTGGTGACCTGGGAACTCTGAAATCTCTCTGGAGCTAGTATTGCATGGAATAGCTGCTGGAATCATCAAAGGGCTCCTCTCCCAGGAATCTCCCTGCAAGTGAAGTGACTGGGAAAGCTCTCCCAGCTTCACTGCAGTGGTTAAGAGCATCACGGCCTGCCTTTGGATTCCCGGCTTCATCTTGTATTCATTAGCTGTGTGAGCTCGGACAACTTGCTTGTCCTCTCTGTGCCTCAGTGGGGATTATATAATTAATTATCTCATAATGTTGTAAAATTAACTGAGATAGTGTATGTCACGTATTCAAGACACAGCAGCTGCTTGGTGCATATTTGCTGCTATTAATATAATCATGATGATGGTGATACTGAAAGTGATGTTGGTGGTGATGGTGGTGAAGGCGATTATGGTGGTGATGGTGACGGTTGGTGGTTACGGTTTGGGGTGGTGGTGATGGTGCAGTGGTGACGGCGGTGGTGGTTGTGGCACTGGTGTTGGTGTTGGTGGTGTTTGTGGTGGTGGTCCTGGTGGTGGTGGTGGTGATGGCGATGGTCACGGTGGTATTGGTGGTGTTTGTGGCAGTGATGGTGGTAGTGGTTGTAATGGTGGTGATGGTGGTGGTGGTGGTGGTGGGGTGGTGGTCCTGGTGGTGGTGGTGGGGCGGTGGTGGTATTGTTGCTGGTGGTGGTGGTGGTGGTGGTGGTGGTGACGATAGTGACGATCACGAAGACCGTCATCTTTGTGACTGTTTGTTGCCATCTGCTTTTGCTGCTCCATGTGGGCTCCTCCGACGAGGCCGCATGTCCTCATCCCTGACCTCGGTGCTCCAGGCAGAGGTTTAGAGGGCACTAGCCAGACTTGCTTGGCATGGAAAGTCACCAGGCTCAGGTTCCCCGAGGCACTGAGCTCCTGCCTGAAAAGGTAAGTGTCAGACAGGTGAGAAGTCATGTGAGGCCAGGAGAGGAGGACTCTGATGGCAAAGTACCATCGTCCCGTGACGGCTCTCCTGTTGGTCAGGCTCTGCACGGAACCACCGTCTCCTGGGAGAAAAACGGAAAGTTTCTTCCAGGGCTTTAATCTTAAAACTCATAAAGGGAGCTGTTCAGGGCTCAAGTCAGCTGATTCCAGTGAATGCCTTTGCTTCAGCGGATCTCCTGGGCATGCAGTTGGTGTTCAGTAAAGGTCTCCTGGACCTGGTGTTCTGAGATGCTGCCTGCTGGCCCCTGGTGCTGACGCTCTCCAGCCTGCTCAGACATCTTTGGTGTTTCCCTTAACGGTCTGTGTTCACAGATCCAGGAACCCCACCTAGGAGGGGCTGAGGAGCTGTTTAGGGCTCATTGTCATTCAAGGCATGTTCCCATTTGGGTCAATCACATATTCATGACACCAGCAGCTCAAGGATGCGATGGCTCAGATGTCATCCCAGTCCTGCCTGGTAATTTTTACAGTGGAATTCACTCATGCATTTTCAAGGGTGATTTCGCAGTTGCTTCGTCCTTGTCTCCAGGGGGCTGTCAGTGTCCTTTGGGTGTGTCCCTCAGTGAGCACGAGGGACAAGCTGGTGCCATCTTTTCTTGCTCGAATCGTCAGCTGATCTGAACAGCAGAGCGAGATCAGGAACTAGTCTCCTGATGAGGACGTATTTTCTAAATGACAAATCAAGGAGAAGGGAGTTAGGAGTGGACGTAAGCGGAGGCATGTGCCCTCCCCTCCTGTTCAAAGCTGTGATGGCAGTTTAAATGCTGAGCCCCTTTTAATTAACTTGCTGGGTGTTTGCTAACAGGGAACTGAATCCAGCCTTAATTTAAAGATATCTGAAGCAAATGACTCATGAACTTCAAAAGTTTTGAGTGGCTTGACTGGGATAAGGGCACCAGTAAACAAATGATCCCCTCGGGCTCTCTGCATTACGCCTCCTAGACTCTAGACGGCGAGGCTAGGCTTCAGGGTGTTAGCTGGCACTTGCCCAGTGGAGGCATGGTTTCAGAGGGTGCCCCATCCTGGCCACAGGCGGGATCCTGCGTGCCTGCCGACAGCTCCCTGGACCCATCCTGCCTCCCAGCGTGTGCCTTTACTTTTGCTGAGCAAAGCTGTGTTTACACCACTGCATAAATGGGCTCTGACTCATCAAAGCCAGCCTCCAACTCTTCCGGAGATGACTCTACCCCGGGCTTCCTTTCAGTCCCTTTTCACACGCTCCTTGCTGCAACTCGCTGCATT